TTTAGCTGCCCCGGGCTGGATTCGAACCTGCTAGCCTTGGTATATGTGGCTGGCACCAGATGTTGAGAACATAAAGGTGACAGGGAGACTTTTGCTTCTTGCCCCTTTGGTATTAGATTTTAAACAATTAACCTAGTTTTGTATGAGCTGGAAGCTCTGGATAATAGGTCATTCAACCTAATGGAAGCTGGAAACATAAATAAGACGGGAACTCTGATATGCAGAGATGCTGAGTTAAAAGTAAAAGGCACATGTCAAGGTGAATGATGAAGACTTCATCATTGCTACTGCAAGTATTTGTCTACAGGTCATACTCTAACAACAGTAAGGGCACTGTACTCTCTTGGGTGCCAATCTGCAGACACGCGATCCTTGCATGCAGCTACAACTCCACTCCTCTGCGTAACATTCAAGACATAAATCTTTTTTTGGAGACAAGAGTCTCATTCTGTCACCCTTGGTAGAGTGCCCTGTCATGTGAGATGTCATCACAGCTCACAGCAACCCCAAATTCTTAACTTCAAGCAATCCTCTTACCTCAGCCTCCTGAGTAGCTGGGACTATAGGCACCTGTCACCACACTTGTCTAGTTTTTTCTATTTTTAGTAGAGATGAAGTCTCACTCTTTTTCTGACTGGACTTGAACTTCTGAGCTCAAGCAATCCACCTGCCTCAGCCTGCCAGAGTGCTACGACTACAGGCTCAAGACAGACTTTAGAATGTGACTGCTGGTTTGATAATACACTGGAACTTTTTCTAATCCTCTTATCAAGAAGATAACTCATTACTGACAACTATTAAACAAAAATAAATATGAAACTCATTAAACTAAAGATCATGATTTTCAGATGTTAGAATTCCACAGTTAAAAACAACAGCTGACCCCCAAAGTGCATCAATGTACGCAGTTACCATTCAATAAAAAAAAAAAAAAGAAAAAAAAATAACAGCTGAAAGGACATTACAGAAAAAACAGGGGCAAGGCACCTTTGCAAAGTTAAGAAATAGGAGAAGAATACCAAAAATGTGGAATGAAAAAAAATCCAAGGACACAAAAACAGAACCAACATAGAAAAATACAAAGAGGAAAGCTTTTTGACAAGTAAGAATGACAAAAGGCCACTGAACCTGGTTAGGAAGAATGAAAACCTGCTGCCTGGAATTTGCTGGAAGGAAATGAAACCCTGGGTACAGAACACATAAAACATCTATAACCAAAGGGGAAAAAAATAGAGGTCAATCACAGTGACTTATGCTTGTAATCCTAACACCCTGGGAGGCCAAGGGAAGACGATCCCTTGAGCTCATGAGTTCGAGACCAGACTGACAAGAATTGGTCTTGTCAGTTCTCTAGCAAAAATAGAAAAATTAGCCAGCTGTTATGGTGGGTACCTGTAGTCCCAGCTACTTGGAAGGCTAAGGCAGGAGGATCACTTGAGCTCAGAGGTTTAAGGTAGCAATGAACTATGACAACACCACTGCACTCTAGCCCTGGTGACAGAGATCCTGTCTCCCCCTGAAATAAAAGTAAAAATAAATCACTTCTTGTTAAAGCAAACAGAAATATAAAAATGTGTTGAAAAGATATGGACACTAAAAACTTAGGGAGCAAAAAATAATCACTACAGGCGAGAAAAAGGTGGAGAATGACAGGTAATTTAGAGCAATGTAAAGCACAAGATTCACCACAGGGAATAGTCCCAATTCCCTCTACGAATGCAACTCCATTATTTATACTAGGGTTGCTTTCTTTCTTTTTTTTTTGGAGACAGAGTCTTATTATGTCACCCTTGGTAGAGTACCATGGCGTCACAGCTCACAGCAACCTCAAATTCTTGGGCTTAAACGATTCTCTTGCCTCAGCCCCCAAGTAGCTGGGACTATAGGCACCTGCCACACGCCCAGCTATTTTTTTGTTGCAGTTGTCATTGTTGCTTTAGCTGGCCTGGGCTGCATTCGAACCTGCCACACTTGGTGTATGTGGCTGGTGCCCTATCCACTGAGCTACGGGCACCGTCAGGGCCTGCTTTCTTCAATATGTATTTCTGTAATTTTGCTTTTAAAAGAATAAATAGGTTATTACTTCTATAATAAGAAAAAGGAAGAAAACCCAGCAAAGGGGTGGAATTCTGAGCAACAGAAATGCGCTCAAGAGCACAGACTTCATCTGGAGTCAGAAGAGAAGACATGACCCCAGGCCTGGCCACTCAAGAGACTTTAGCCACCTCAGTATACCTCACTTCTTCATCTTTAAAATGGGAACAAGCGCAGCACCTCTCTGAGTTGTAATGAGGAATAAATAAGCACAAGTTAAATGCTTAGGATAATCTCAATAGGTCAGAGGAAAGCCATTATAATTAATGAAAAGTAGTAAAGCTTTAAGAGTAAAGTTCTCACTTCAGTGGCTGTTTACCTTTGGGATACGGTACTGCCTGAAAACTCAGGCGGTCTTGCTAGGAATGAGTTACTTTTAAAACTACATGTACCCAAAACTGTGCATCTGATCTGAAGGGTTCATAAATTCTCTGAAATCTTAGACCTTAGGTTAAAAACATCTAATCTACAGAACTATAATTACTAACAATTATTATAAACCAGATCTTTCAGAATTAAACATAAAAAGGGATTATTTTAAACTGGCCATCACTTACTGAAAACATTTACTGAAAATAAAATTTACAGAAAATTCTTCATTACATGCCATGCAAATAGCTATATTAAATATTTTAAGTATATTATCTCATTTAATACTTCCACTAATTCCGTGATGTAAATATTACTATCCTTATTGTAAAATGAGGAAATCAGGGCGTAGAAAGTTTCAGTGACTTGAGCTAGACTAGTAATGGAAACAAAATGTATAATCTATGTTTTCACTCCATATAAAAATATATCAGTTATATAAAAAAGACTGTGTTAGTGAATCAAAAATTAAAAGGTTGGTCAAATATCCTCTCCTACATAGAACCTTGTAGACACTTTAAACTTCCTTGAGGTACATTTTGTACCTAGCTACGCAAAGGTAAAATTCCTACTTCCTCCTGGAGCTGAGAAGCCTAGTGGGTTCTGGAGTAAGATCACCTGAATTTAAATCCTAGTTTTGCTCACTTTCTACTTGTATGACTTAACCTTACTGTCTCTCAGTTTTCTAATCTATAAAACAATGAGGACTACATTCTGCATCTCATGGAGTTGTCCTTAAGTTTAAATGAGGTCATATGTGTAAAGCACTTAGAAGAGAATACTGTTATTATACTATCTGGCATTTGAACCAATTAGAACAGTATATAATACATAATTTAAAAAATTCCCTGGCTCAGCGCCTATAGCTCAACCAGCTAAGGCGCCAGCCACGTACACCTAAGGTGGCGGGTTCGAATCCCTAGCCCGGACCCACCAAACAATAATGACGGCTGCAACCAAAAAATAGCCGGGTGTTGTGGCGGGTGCCTGTGGTTCCAGCTACTTGGGAGGCGGAGGTAGGAGACTCGCTAGAGCCCAGGAGTTGGAGGTTGCTGTGAGCTGTAATGCC